GGGGGCGTGAGACAACATTCCATGTCGGACGAGACATTTATAGAAAACTATTTTATTGAGATGAGTAAGACAAAATTACCTAGAACAATGAATCGTTGTTCTGTGGTCCATGATGACGGTGAATAACGAAACTCTATTGGTTTATTAAAAACTATTGATGGATATTTTAATGAATATGTTTATGAAACTACATTATGCCTTTGACGTAATATGTGATGTTTCCAGAAAAGGGAAAAAATTTGTTGACATTATTTATTTACATCCATTTAACAGATAACAACATATTTTCAGTCTTTACACAGTGAGACAAAGCCAGATAGAATAATTAATCGTTGTTTAGTGAATAGTTTTGTGTTTATTTAATCGTCGATCAAACAAAAAGAGATTCTATACTACTATGTTTATTTAAAATCTTAACTGTAACTATTAATAGTATTTATCAGAAATAAATATTATAACTACTAACATAAAATATAAACTGTTTAACTATAGGAAAATCAGCTCTCTTTTCTAACTTTACAAGTTAAAACAGTTTTGATAGTGGCAATAGAAAATATTAGAATGAGAAACGGCTATATAAGGTCAATTCTTTTACAAGAGATCAATCTACAGAAAGTGAAAACGTATAACATTTAGAACGGATAAGTTATAGATTTTTATTGAAAATCACTTAGAGCTAAAAAAAGACCAGTTTTGCTGTTTGAAAAGTTCTTCTGCCCATATTAGACATTATTAATCGATGATATCTGTTTTGCGAAGATCTTTTTTTTTCTCAATTTTTGTCTTAATAACCAACTACTCATATTTGACATAGTCTAAGTGGAAATAAACGAGAATATTATCAAAAAATGTCTTATTATGATGACGAATGTGGTGTTAGTAGGAATTATAAATAACTAATGTGGACAAAAATAAGCAAAGATTGGAATATGCGTCTGCAATATATTCAGCAAGAATAGCGAACTTTGATTAGGTATAATAGGAAAAAGTGACACTTTTTTTACGACTTATCTGAAGTTAGACAATTGTAAGTATGTAAGAAGATGATTGTCAGTCACAAAAAGCTTACGTTTATTTTCTTTTGCAGATACTAAAGTTGATTCATAAAATCCAACGGAAATGTCATTTAGTAAAATTACATCATCAATTCATTGAAAAGATCTTAAAATGTTTCGCATTAGATGAACTAAAACGATTTTTTTTCTAAAATAAAATTATATCTATTCTTAGTATTGTACTTTTATTTATTCCTAGTCAAATTCCTAGTGCAATCTATTTTCGTGTAAATTTATGCATTGTCAAAATCATTTGCATTACTTAGCAGTTACTTATTCTATTTTAACATATTTTTAGCAAGAATTCCAATATATATCCGAATATACTTGGATACTTATATGGCGTATTTTGAAAAATGACTACCAAATAAGAAACGTAAATAGCTCGGCCATATTTTAGTCATTCTTTTTTTTTAATAGAAAATATTTAAGTTTTCTTTCGTCATGTCATGTTTTCCTTCTACAAATAATAGAAATAATAGAATCTTTTCGTTCAATAAAATAATAGATATTTTTCAAAGTTTCAGGAGTTTTTCTCAAAATAGTTTATAATTCAGTAGATTGAAGAGTTGTCCAATCAAATTTTGACGAATGGATCATTTTCAAAGTAAAATTAATCGATTTCTTGAAATTATAAACGCCTTTTAATTATAAACAAAACAACTCTGTCAACTTGTTCAGTATTTAACATTTTGGTAAAAAATTGATCAAATTGTTAGCAAAATATGTTGTACAGTGAGACAAATATCTAGTTTAACTTACTAACAAAAAGTGAAATAAGTCTATCGCAAACAGAATATTTAACAACTGTGTATAGTAACAAATTTTAATGTAATGAATAGAATCAGTTGTCAAGCTAGCAACATAATGGAACGCATAAATTCAACAGAAATAAGGAAAATATTCAAGTTTTTTTTATTTGATAGTAAGTTTTCAATCATCTTGTAAATCGAAGCTTACGATATCTCAGAATAAAAATCAAGCTACTAACGATTATTTGATATTACATTTAACAACTCAAATTATCAACAAAACATCCGTGCATGTAATCAACAAAATAAATCTTACTAAGAATAGTCTCTATCATTATGTATTCTCAATAGTGATAAATTTAAATAAATTCAACTTTATACTTGCGTTTCTTTCCCATTCTAACGTGTTTGTAGTTCGTATAAAAGATTCACTGTCAAGATTATAGTTACTACGACTATTTAACACTTATATATTTACGACGAAAAAATTAACGTGTCATATTAGCACAACGACATAAAAAAAAGAATTTTCTATACATTTTTTTTTTTCTCCAATTCTTGTTTATGATACGTAATCAAAACAAAAAATGACGAGTTTCCCAGATGTATGTCATTAAGTTTGAAACAAACATGAGATTATTTACATAGCCTAATTTGATGATATTTATGATCACTCTTAACAACTTTTCTTAACAAATACTATTACTCTGAAAATAAATTCTTATATAAAAAAGAAAAAAAATCTTACTTGTTTTGTTTTTTAAAGAAATTCGAATATGTAACAGCTTTGGATAGTCTAACCCAAGGTTTCATCATTCGACTTGATCGATCGACTATATGTCCATCTTTAGACGATTTACGAATGTTTTTTGTACATGGAGATGATTCTTCTTTAGTAGACGGTAATAGTTGATGCTGTTGTTGTTCTATTTCGTTATTTAAATTCATAATTGTAACACGAACAAATAAAAGAATGGTAAGAACAAATGGTATCTATAAACGGATGCGTATGTATGTGTGTGTGTGTGTATGTATGTGTGTGTACGTAAAACGAAATTTAAATGATCTATCTAATCTTTCATTTTACAGACAATTAACGAATACGCAAAATACAAAAAAAAATGAAAAAGAAAATTCGCTTGATCGAAAGTAAAACTTATATTTCTTTTTTTTATACCTAAATACGCCTCTTCAACATTTTCGTTTTTCTCACAGAACCAATACATATTTAACGTATAAAGAGAGGGAAGAACAACAGATGCATTTTGGAAGACGAGATGCTTTACTGGCAAGAAGTCTCAATAAGACTGGAAATAAGCCTGTACAAGGATGGCAATCTTTCATCACTGCTTTCTTGTATTCCAATCTTTATAAAACATTTGTAATGATACAAAAAAACGACAAAGTGCTACGGAAACTCCAAGGACTTCGTTAATTTAATAGAAGGTGTTAAATTCTGTTGTTATTTTTATATTCTTTAGGTCATCTTAACATTATTCCTGCCATTACAATTGAAATATTTTGCTTGATCAAAAGGAACTTTTTTTAGAATGGTCGATGACTAATCAAAAAATATTTATTTTTCACCTGCACGATTTCTCTTGTTGTGAAAAGAAAGTTGAAATCTGTTTTCTATTTTTTTTTTATGTTCTATTTCATAAATATTTAGACGAAATCCAATTAATGTTAAAGCATTATGGGAAAATGTCCCCATGACAATGCTCTCAACACATACTTAGGCTGACAAAATGATGCTTTAAACGAATAAAAAGATTTATTATCAATAAAGATAGAGCAAGTTTAATTAGTGTTGAGTCCTAAAAGTGATATTGAGTAAAGTGAGTAAGTACTGTCTTTCAAGAGTGTCACTGATTTAAGTAATATTATCAAGAAAAAGTGAAAATATTTTTAATACGTTATATTTAACGGTAGAAAAACTATAGACATATAAAGGACAAATAATAAATAAGACCTACTTCAATGAGACTCAATGATCTGTGAACGATTTATGTTTTTTCTGTTCATCAAAATAACTTTTAAACATCAAACGTTTAAATAATCTAACTGTTCAAAGAAGAAGTAACAAACTAGAGATTTGGATATTGTGTATTACCAGTGGCTTGTTCGTTATATTTTCAGAGCAAAAAATTGCTTAATTTCATACAAATTACTATTTTCCGATGTGACTTCTTTTTTTTTTTTTTAATGTAAGATTTTGATTCTGACGTTCATCACGTCCTATGAATTTGAGTAGCCAGAGGATCTTGCATTTGAATTTATTTTTTTTTAAATCTGCATCTCGTTTATAAATTAAAACATAGAGCAAGTAGAATTTCTTAGCTAAAATTACCTTTTAAAAGAAAAAACGAAATAGCTGATCTCCAACGTCAAGTATATATACCTCTCACTCACTATCGTTTATTATTGTCTTATTTTAACAATAATAAAAAACAGGAAATTAATTTCTTCTTTTTTTTTTCTTTCAAAAAGACGATTTAATTAAAAAAAAAAAAAATGTAATTTTGATACCGAATATTATTCAATATTTATATATCCAGATGTCTATCATCTACGACATATTTTAACAAGTTCTCTACAGAAAAAGGACTTACTGTCTACATTATAACAATGAAAAGCTAGAAATTTGCTCGAACAAACGAAAAAATAATTTTTAAATAGACTATATATCTTTTCTCCCTCCTCTCTACTATGTGTCAATCAACATTGAGTAACAGCCGTTTCCATTTCAGAGATTTCTTTTCTCTTCTTGTTAAACAAGTTAGGAGTAACTTAACTGAGTAGACAATAAGAGAAGAAGAAAAACTTTGATGTACGAAAGAAAAAGAGAGAGAGAGAGAGAGAGAGAAAGACTAATATGCATTAACATCTTATGGAAACTATTTTATGTCATTTCATTTTTATTATACGCTTACTGCAACTACAGGTTGCAAAACAAGAAAAACACATTAATTATTAATCTTATCAAAAGAGAGAGAAAGAAAGACCCTCGACACAACTCTTTTATCAAAATCATCGAACATTTTCTATAGACCAGCAGCGACTATGATGTTTTTAAGTAAATCGTGTCTATTGTTCGGGAACGAACAAAATCTATTCATATAACCATCTTGTGTAGCCGATACAACCAAAGTATTTCCGTCATTATTATTATTAAAACCGAGATTTATTTCTAAGAAAAACATGCCAAACGATGGTTTCATCTACACTTGAATGCATTGCAACAAAGAGCAAACGATTAATAATACGAAAAGACTTCGTATATTTGTTTGAAGATCTCGTGTGATGTGGTGGTAAGATTCTCGCTATGATTTTATGTTTTCTAATAAAATCATTTAAGTCTCTCTAGTCTCGATAAAACTATACAAAAACAAAAAAAATGCATGGCGGATCGTTCCTAATGTTGACCTTGTCGCCCTCTTTTTGATATTTTGTGTTATTAATGCCCCGTCTGTCAATAACTCAATTCGTTTTCATTTATTCTCAAGAGAATAAATACACGGTCTTAAAAAAGCGAAAAACAAAAAGGGAATGCGAAACTATTACAATCTAAATATGATAAATGTAGATTAATATAGAGTGAAAATGTTTCGATAAAAATATTCTAGATCTTTTTTGAGCGGGGTTTTCTCAGTAATATGGTCAAGAATCAACTCTATGTAACTGTAAAAAACTTGTATGAAGCCCATTCGAATAAACTATTTTCAATTGATAATCTTTTCTAAGAGATATTTTTGATTATCCAATGATTTTATGGACACAAAACTTCAATTATTGTCTCTATTAAAATAACTGATACAAAGGAATTAGCAATTTGCCAAGCCATTTTAGAAGATAAATGAAAAATTTTCTTACTCAAGAATGCTCAAATATGTCAACATGAGATTTAGATCATTTTTTTGTTTTCAGTAAAAAGTCAATGTTTTGTATTAGAAAAGACTGTGCTAATCAGTGTAACAAAAAAACTGACATGAAAAGTTTATTCCTGTAAAGTAACAAACGACATTCACATTTTTGCTTTCTAGAAACGATATTGGCAGAAAAGATTAAGGTAAAAATTATTATAGATAATAAGAGATACACAACCTTTTTCATCATGAAAATCGACTAGTTTCTGTTTGAGACGTTTCGTCTTTATTCAAAAGACATCCTCACCTTACAAAATGACTCAATTAAAAATTATTATCAAAAGTCTGCAGTTTCGTTTGAAAGTTGTCTTCCTGAGAGTTAATTTTTTAAACTTTCATAATCTAGATGGTTTCTGCAGTTTAGAGCAAGCATCTCAAACAATTTTAAATACAATAACATAAACGAAGGTAAAATCTTTCTCTATGATATTATGAGTAACAGTCAACAGCAACACAGATACCTGGATATTTTAAAAAGAATAGACTTTTTGTCTGCTGAAAAGTCATAGTGTTGTTACAGTTATTTTATAAACAGATAAGATAATATTTCAGACATTAATTAATAATTGTGTGACATGAAATACTCTAGTATATCTCAAAAAAACATATTGAATTTGACGATCATATCAAATATTGTAGTATTCTTGACATAAAATCTGTTTAATAAAATAATATTTTCAATAAATAATTATAATACATTCAATTGTGTACCACAAAGAGAATGTCAGTAAGTACTCGCTCATCATCATTAATCATAACACAAAAGTTCAATAAAATATTTTTAATCATATTGAAGTAAAAAGATAGATTTTCTCTAATATAAGTTCATGATTACATCAATGTTCTAACGAAAATAAACAACAACAACAACAACAGATTATAGGATCTCTGTATTTAGTAAAAAAACAAACGTTACGTAGTTTTCTTTTCACATCGACGAATGCCATTTACATTAGTATCATAATCAAGCGGTTATAAACCTAGCAGTTTTCCATACACTTGACAATCTCTCAAAAAACACAAGAAATAACTATTATTTAATACAGACAATCCCGGATATTGTCAAAATTAGACAGATCGAAATAGACAAACACAATTATTTTTCGAGAGAAGAAACGTCATATAGAAAAAGTCGATCAATGTCAAATATCACAAAAAAAAGTAGATATTTACTTCTAAGAAAACAAGAGAAGACACACTGTAGAATCAAATCAGTTCACCAACAACCATAGAACTCTCGATAAAACTCTCTACATGTCTTATTATCATTTGAAAAATCGATCGAGTAAATTGATTGATTTATTTTCTGCCAACATCAACAACAATTTGGTTAAAGTGGAATGAAACATTTTAGTAAATTTTTTCCCAATTTTAGTATTATTTTTCAAATAACTTTTTTAATGTATGAGATTTTAAAAGATGGCTTGAGTACAATAAACTTAAATTCAAGCGTATCACGAACGAGAGGACATATTTAAATGATCCTCTTAGAAACGAAATGAAAAGTAGCCTGTCTTGTAGAGAATTTAATACTGAATACAAATATGGATATCTTAGCAGTGATTTGACACATGTTTAAGGTATATCGAGGGTTTTCCCTGTAAATATACCCATTCGCAAGTTCGAAGTTCCACAACATTTGGCCTCCGATTGATTCCATGTTAGCCCATCATTCCAACGTGATCAGACTCTAATTTCAAGATTTTTCACACGATCTTTTGAAAGAACTATGTCTCAGAAACTACATGAGCCACAGATTTTTCGGGTATGCTATTTTATAGCGGAAAGACGACTGTTCCATGTCGAATCTTTCTCAATTTTTTGTGACTGTTTTACAAAAATATATTAATCTAACAAAAGTGATATCCATCAGCAGGGAATATCTCAGCCAAAAAAGTTGTACCCTCTATTCTTATAAGGCATCAACGAGGACGCCTACGATATTCATGTTCGTATTCAGCATCAAATTCTCTATAAGAATTCCCTCTTGAGCTGTTTCGCATATTTTCTTGAATTATCCACTTAAAACTAGAATACCATTTTTCGAGTTGAAAAGATCACATAAAAGTTTGATCGGAAATTGTTCTTAGTGGATTCCTGAGAATATAAGAAATTAAAGGGTATAAAAAAAAATGTTCACTTAGCCCTAATTATCTCAAGGCAATTGGCTTTTACGAAAATCAAAAAATATCGTTCATTTTTACGATTATTACTAAATTATTCGCCTATTTTATTCATTTTCACTTAGGACGGAAACATTATGAAATCATAGGTTACTTAGAAGTCTGTACTTGGTTACTATGTTTATAGTTACATTGGAACAGAGTGTACATATCCGGTAGGCACATCTCTAATTACGTAAAAACAGGAAACAGTATGGCGATGGAAAAACATTTTTCTACAATTTTAAATGAAGACAATCTCTATATAAAAGTACGTTATTTTTTTTGTCTAATAAACAGTTGTCACGATCCTTTTCTTTCTTCTACTTCATCTAAAATATGCTTAAGTTATACTTAACGTTCTATGTAAAAAAAAAACTCTATCAAAGACAAATTGAAGTTTTGACTAAATTACAGGCTGTTCGTGATCAGAATAAGAAAAAAACTAAATTGAACAATATTAAGAGAAAAACTTGATTTTTTCACAAAAATACGCAGGAATATCGTAAGATAAAAAGATAGTTTACAACATAACGAATGTAAAATGTTGTTCTGCAGTAGATGAGTCTGTTCTATGAAACTATCTGGAAGGTAAATGAAATGCAGATATATGAAGAAATGAATGAAATGTTCAGTCTGACAACAAAAGATATCATCACTTGGGAATTATGTTAATTATCACGTTCTTCAAGAGATGCTGTGTGAGAACTTCGTCAACGACACACTAGTAGCTTTAGCCAGTCAATTATACCTTAGTGCCTGAGATTATTTGTCTGACAATTCAATCACTGCATTATGGTGTACAGTGCAATTTCTCTTATGACTTTTCAGAATGAACCAGTGTGTCGTTAGTAAGTACGTATGGGCAAATAGTAAACGAATGAGTGAAAAGAATTCTGTGTCAGACTAGCCTTTTTCAAAACTTTTTCTCCCATTTCGTTCGGGACGACATAAAGTTTCATGCCTTTTAGAATGTTTGATGCTATAATGTAGGATTTTATATTAAAAAAAATAAATCACTTTAATTTAGTGCTTATAGCTGAATTTTAAAGTATCGAAAAATAAAATAAAAAAACTTTCTGTCTTCTTCATAGAGATCAATTTTTTTATATAATCGTAAGTTTCAGAAGATATTTTGATCGGTACCGGTATATATAATATATTATAATATACAATTGCAGTTTTTTTTCTAAAAAAATATTACTGGCGATAAGTTCGTAAAAGAATGCCTTAACACTTCTTTACTGTTAGTACTCGAGAAATTAGATCTCGACTACATTAGAAATAACGATGTTTAAAAAGACTGAAAAATGGCAATAGTCAAATACTAAATTGCACATTCTACAAACTTTTTTCGCCAGATTTGAATGTTACCTTTTGATCCAGGAATATCCGAATTTCGTTGAATTATTCAGTTCTTTTCTTGGCACTGATAAGAATAAATTTGACGATGAACTTCGAGATTTTTCTGCTGCATCCAATGTATAACAAAGGAGTGATCCACAACTTGTGATGCTATGTAGATCCTTGTGACAAATATCATCGGATACTTCTGTGAAACTACGTAAACGTTCAGCACGATACATATTATTCATTTAAAAATGTAATATTGTAATTCTTTAGTGTGTGTACGAAGAGTTGAATGACAATAAAGTCAAGGTAATATGAGAGCAAACATTGTGTATACACACACTCATACGAAAACAGAATGATAATTTAAAAGAATGAAAGGAAAAAATGACGAAATAGAATGAGAAAAAAAACATGTTTTAACACTTGACTCTTTTTGTATTATATACAATAGAGTAGAATAGAGAGAAATAATAAAAAAATGAATTAACGAAACAAAAAACAGAAGAATATAAGTTCTTTTGTTGGGTTGAAAAGCAGAACAGCGCTAGAATTTAGATTACTGATCTTTACTAAGTAAGATCAAATAGCCGAATACGAGTGTAAAGAGGAGAAATAAAGGGTAGGAATAGGATGTTAGACATAGAGAACTTTACAGCACAAAGAATTTTACCATTTCTAAAAACAGTACCGGAAATCGATCTGACATTCACACAACAAATCAAAATTTAAATAGACTGCCTTACTGTGATAAGTTTCATACCCGATAAAATTATGGTGATTTACAGACAAAAAAAGTATGGCAGTTAGTATAATTAGAATAAGTAGGGAAAAACAGTCGCCGTTTTGCCTAAACTAATGTTTCACACAAATTAACGGTACAGCAGAAAAAATTCATTATTTATTCCAACTAATGAGTATAATTATTTTCCTTCCAATCTCAAATAGTGTCTCTCTACGCCTTATCAAGGATTTAACAAATATAGTAATGTAAATAGCATCTTATACTTGAAAATCTGAACTTTTCACAACTTTTAAACAAATTTGAGAAATCATTGTGTAAAATTCTGATTTTGTTTGAGTACTTTGGATTCTCATCTGCTAGATAGTGGATGTACTAAAGCCGAAAAACTCGATTTTTTTAACAGAAATTATAATATTTTGAAGATCTTCTAGAAGTATAAGAGCTTAATCAAATTCGTAATAATAGAGAACGAGATTAATAAACTTTTCATCTTGTACGGAAAAAAAATCACCCATAAATTCGCTAAGAAACAATAGTTCAACGAATAAAACGATAGAATTTAATTAAATATCCTTCTCTTTCATTCATGTGTAAAAACAAATTAAAAACTTTTTTTGTATATTGAGTATATATAACATCAAATTTTCTTTTGTTCTCTTGTAATTAGCACTATATATTGAAACAATGTTGTCTCAAGCGGATAGACAGAAAGAATATCAAATATATTTGAATTAGTCATAGAAATTCAATAATATCTCCAGGACATAGAATAGAATAGAAACAAGTAAACATTTCAATAGAATAATTTAAATTGGAAAAATATTAAACAAAACTAAAATATCTTCAGTCAGACAAATGTAGACTTCAGTTTCCAAAACTTATATATTTTACTATGTTAAGTGATCCTAAGAGTCTTTTTCTGTATAGCATATTTGATTAGATGTTAAAAAATATTTTGTTTCACTTTCTATAGATCTTAACTCATTATTCTATATAGGATGTGTGATTAGAGTAAGAAAATAACATTTTATCATTTTGTCTAATGTTAGTTTTGCGCTATTTTTATAAAAAAATGAAAAAAAACAAAACAAGAATAAACAAAGAAAATTTGTTTACGTCTAGAGAACGTACATGTCAACATGGTAATGGGAGTTATGTGCAAAATAATTTTTATCATTCTTCAGTGAAATATACAAACAGTAAGATTTTCTATTCATGATACATTCAGCCTATGGCGACGTAAAAATTTTCATGACAAAACTTCTATGACTAGTACAATGTAGCAAAAACAAAAACTCTGAAAATATAAAATTTGGAATATTTTTCAAACGAAAAGGAATTTATAGTGATTTTTTTGGCCATTAAATGTATATTATGCTATATGATATTCGATCTAACGTCAAGTTTTTATTTTTTCATCGTTACTGAACTTCATCTTACAGAAAAAAATTCAGTGAAGGTAAACACCGTTACGAAGATTAGTCACGATGTATCTACGCAGACAATAAAAGACAAAAATGTCTCAAATCAAACCACAAACATACTTCTGATTTCTTTTTGACGATCGATGAATATGACGATGTATAGGTTTTAAGCCACGTCCAAAGACAGTTTTAACGAGTTCCATGTATAAGAAAAAAAACTCTCAACTGTACAGATTACTTAGTGTAATAAGAAGTATGGTGAGAAGAAACTGTATTAAAGGGAAAAAGGCGACACATTTTTTGGATTCTCTTTTTATTCTTTCTTTTTATTCATTGATCATCACCTCTTGCTCTCTATACACATGATTAAATCTGTCGAGTATCCATAATGTAAATAGAGGTGTAAAGTGTGCGTAATCAATCGATCATTTAGAAAAGAAATACGAAAATTATTTTATCGTTGAAGATGAAATAAATACGAAACAAAAAAGAAAAAAGAGAATCTAGTGGTGACAAAGAAGAATAAACAAAGGCATACACCCAATGTTTTAGTTAGAGGATGTTGACTTGCGAAACTTGATAAATTAGCTACCAACAAATCGCATTATGACAACTCTAAGCTGACGTTCATAGTAACATATAAAGCATAGTTATTACTAAGCGTATCTAACCTATACGAAACTACTTCATTCTCTAAATGTTAGAAAAAAGTATAATACGTCGAACTTATATTGATCTAATACAAGTTTGAGTCTAACTACAAGAAACATCAGTAATAGTGATAACAATAATTTTGTACTTAACAACTGTATGAATTAAGAATGGAAAAAATGATCACAATTTTTAGTTTATCGGAGAAAACCTTCAACCAAATGACTTAGTTCTCAACGAAGAAACAGTAGTAGAAAATTCAACAAACAAAACTGTATTCTTAAATACTGCGGTCAAATTTTTCAGGTCATTTGACTACATAAATAAACAAGTCAAATGGTTCCTATGACTTAATACTTAATTGTGGTTTATGCCTACCTTTTGTCATCAAGAAGTAATTAAATTAATTTTTGTTCGAATCAGCATGGACAAAGAACATTTTCGTTATATACAGAGTGTCTAATATCTCTCGCAATGATTTGTTTATAATATAAATTGAGATTTAGATGCAATTTAAAAATTATTTTTAGCCATGATGAACTTTCTGTATCAGATATAGTATCGAGTAACCGCTAGTAGTCAACATTGGAAAAAAAGAAAAACTATTTTACTTACAGTTCACTTCCAATAGATGGATTTCTTGATATTCCTTTCGGCGATAAATCATTATCACTATCACATTTATATAAGAATGATTCACGTCTATGTATTGTACCGGATCCACTATTTTGTCCAGTTCCACTTTTTCCACCTCCTCCCTGACCGACCGATGTACTATCACGCGAACCAGAACCATTTCGTGGACCATCAACGTCGAAACTAAAATACGAACAAGAGAAAGAAAAACATTAATATTTGACATTTTATCCTTAAAAAAATAGATTATACAATCCGATTTACACACTCAAGTAGACGTCCGGCATTGTGAATACAGAAAAAATGATTCTAAGAATGTCATACATCGCTTTTCTCTTTATCAGATGTTCTCTTTTCTCCTAAACTGAGAGTGTAGATTATGTAATGTATACTATTGTCATACGACACGCTTGACATGCGCCATAAACACACTTTTTTTTTTTTTTCTGCACATCTAAGAATACTTCTCTGTTTTTCAGTATTAATTATTACTGAAGGATAGAATAGCTGACTGCTATTAATCTTTGAACAAGTCTCTATTCATCTTCCACTGTTGTATTTCGAGTGGATTTATTAGATGTCGAAAGATGTCGACACCAATTAGAAACTTTCTTTTCAAATAGTAACAGCGCTAATGTCGTCCGCTAAAAACCTAAATCATATTGATGCGTGAAAAATCGTGTTAATGAGATTTTTTCGAAATAAAATTAAAAATAATAGTTAACAACCATTTCTAAATAGTTTCATTTTCGATTTATGAAGGACGCTATTTCTGGGACAATAACCTGTTGAAGAAGAACCATCCTTATTTACATTTTTTTCGTGTAAAAACTCTTGTAACAAAAAACGACAAGCACAAATGAACTAAGGTCCCAAGTCCACTTTATTGCTTCATTCACGTCGCGAATGCGGTCCTCGCTCCTCAATCGCGTTAAAATCGCGCAACCCGTGCTGCGATCGCTAAGAAGTCGCCATTGTCGCGGCACGATTGCGATGAAGTCTTACTTTTCGAAATTTGTAATTCGAGAAAAAAAATTAAAAATCTTATCATATCTTAATAATAGCTTACAACATGACTAATATAGTCTTGCGTAGTCGCGTCACGCGTACGCCATTCGCGTGTGTTCGCAGTAAAAGTAGCGTGGCTCATTTACTGATATTAGACGAAAAACGCGAATAAATAGTAACTATAGTAAAATACTTGAGAGTCATTGATTTTTGTATGAGCGCGAAAACATAGCGATCGCTAAAATCGTGTCTTATTTAGCGAAGGCGTTACGCGATCCTGCCACAAATTTTTAAAGAGGCTCGCGTCGCGATATGCGATAAGAAAGTGGACTTGAGGTGAACAATAGGATCAACGGTCTAGGTCGTACACGAACTGTAACATTTATAGTAGAGATGTGCAGCCCGACACGAAGGGTGGGTACGGGTACGGGTAGAGCAGTTACGGATACGGGTTTCGTTTTTGTTTTAATTTACCCGAAAACCGAAGGTTTCAGTGAAAAACCACAAAATTTCAGTGAAAAAATACAAGATTTTAGCTAAAAGTTTTATAAAAGTTACTTGAGAACGTAATGATCGGGTCGGGTACGGCCAGAAAAAAACTTTTCGGCTCAGATACGGGTATGAAAACGGTACCTTTGCATCTCTAATTTATAGCCAGGAATGCCAGATCTTATGATTTTTGAACTATTTTTAGCTTCGTTCTTGCTTTTCTGTTGTTTTAATTTTTATCCTTTCTTGACCTGAGCTTAAAGATGACTTATAAGTAGAGATGGTCACAGGATTTTTACCGGGACCAGAAAAAACCCTTATAACTCAGCCATTTCAAAAGCTAAAAGTTTTCTGAATCATACGTTTCAAACAAGTCAATTGTAGCTTCGATTTGAAACGTTCCGCAACTTTGCAACCATCCGTCTCAGAAAAAAAGCCCACGAGATCAGACTGATTCCGGTCTCGATGACTTTTGGTCCCGTAGGCTTTTTTCCTTGACGGAAGGTTGTTCAAAGTTGCAGAACATTTCAAATCGAAGCTACAATTGACTTGTTTGAAATGTATGATTCAGAAAAATTTTAGCTTTTGAAATGGCTGAGTTATAAGAGTTTTTTCTGGTCCCGGTAAAAATCCCGTGACCATCTCTACTTATAACGCATACGTCGTATCACAGCGATACCACTTTTTATTAGAATAGTAAACCTTAAACAGTTCTGTTTCAAAATTCTTTCAATCTTCATTGTACAATTTATTGACAGAAAAGCCCATTGTAAAAGTCAACGCACTTCATGCGAACAATTTCTCGAGTTTTGTTAAACGTCTTATTTTCTAACTTGCATATTTTTCTTTAAAATACAAATTAATATATGGTATTACTTGGTTGAACAGCGATGGCTTTTAAGAAAACTTGACTGATATAGTGTGTACTTATACTGGTCTCAAAAACAACGCATTTTTCGGTTGATTAGAGTCTTTCACGTTGTTTGTTTTTATATGGATGCAAATATAATTTAATTTGTTATAGAATACATGAAATTCATGAGCATAGAGATAATAAGACATCTAGTATTTCGAAAAAATATAATCAATCATTATAGAAGAAAAAAAATGCGTTCTGATTTTTTTTTCTGATTTTCATCCTTTGGATCTGGTCTTACTTTTAGTATTGGTATTCAAGCGCGTTACAAGAAGAAAACTGAAAGAAATATTAATATTAAAAGATCCTTACGATATTTGTAAATGATTTTAAAGATCACATGTCTTCTGACAGAAGAAGAATATTTATGGTCTCTTACTATAAGTCACTGATACTATTATAAAATTCAGAATATGTAGAAAGCTAAAACTCTAAAATCTGTCTGTCTATTAAAAAGGGCTCAAATCCGTTTTTTACGCCGTAAAATCAACGATTTTTTATGTCATGCTTCTTGTAAAAACAATAACAGTTGTTTCAAGAATTTTGTCATTTTTTTCGAAAGAAGATGTGTGTGTGATAAACAGAGCAACACGTATCAGGTTGACTATCATAATTTATTTTTTCTTATACGTCAAAAACAATTGTTTTCTTGTGATAATATTTCATCAATATTCGTGAATTAAACAATTAACGAGAATAGATTCTCCAATGTCATTTTAACAAATTCGATATTAAAAATTGACATTTAAAAACATCAAATAATGATCACATTTCAGAATAAAATAATTTTTTTTCTGTCATTCTCTATGTACATCTAAATGTTATAAGAATAAAAATAAACTCGAGATCAATATTAACTAAACTATAAATATTGTGTCATATGTATTACACATGCAAATTGTAACAGCATATTATTAGCACATATCTCTACTTTATTCTATTTACACTGATTTTTTGTACATGAAACCACTAGACATCAATAAAGAATCGATAAATTGTTTTGATTATTTAATGATATCACATCGGCTAAATGAGAACTGCATTACACCTGCAGAAGAAAACAAAAAACTTATTTAAATAACAAAGTTAATAATATAAATAAAGTTAATCCTTGTCATATTTTGTCTAATCTATATTTAACAATACCCAAGAGCAAAACCGATTATTTTTCTGTTTTATTCATCTTATAGTCATATATAAGTGTATAGGGACCAGTACCGTATTTTCAAATATAATCTTATAAAAAATCTTTGTATAATAATATAGAAGAATTTCCGTGTACGAATAGATATCTATTTTACCCTTACCATTATCTGAATACAAAATCGTAAACGAAAATTTAGTCGATGATTAAAACAACTCTTAAATTCTTAATCAGTTGACTTGATGAGTGTAGATAATAAAATATTCACGAAAAAATCTGAAATAAAACTCAACACTTCACTCTGTTCAATAGATAAAATGTGAATAGATAGATGATGCTTACAAGTACGCTATCATTGAGTAAAATTTTTTTTCTTTTTTTGCTAGCAATGAATGAAAGTCTACAATTAATTTTATTATACACTAGTGTGCATAAGTTTTGTATTGTATTTCTTTAGAAAATAAAGAAAGTTGATTAAACTCTTCAAGGAAATCCTATGCAAGTACACGACAACAAAAAGATTCTATTATTTTTCTATCATAGACATACATTGCTTTTTCTCCTATTCTAATAATAATAATGATATTTTGATTATTATTTCCACCTCTAAATAAGAATAATACAAATTTCTTTCTTTTTTTCGATTATTATCTTCGAAAAAGTGCGTGTGTGTGTGTGTATGTTTTCTGCACGAATAAACTTAACAGCGTGAAATGGAATTCAGACTGGAACAAATCAACATCAGCTGGTGCAACTAGTGCAAGTCTATAGAAAAAATGTGTGTTTAGGATAATTAAGATTTAGGAAAAACAATGACCGGGAAATATAAATCAAGAATGAGTAGAAGGAGAAAAAAATGGAAACAAGTTTCATTTGATTGCCTGAAAAAACACAAATAACATAGGAAAAAGGAAAAAAGTATATTGAAGCGTGTAAAAAAAGAATTCGATTAATGATTGATTACTAAAATAGATAGTTAACAACTTAATCAATCTCCTCCTACAACATAATTAAGAATATGAATGTTCTACAAGTATAAAAATACATACACGTCAACATTGAAAATTGTTAATGTTAATTTATTCAACAACGATCTGATCACTTGTACATTCAGATATTTCTATATTTCTTTTCATATTTAGACTGATATAGAGTCATATCTCATCTCCTAAACGTCATTTTCAAATACTTTCTATTGCTCTTATTTAACTAAACCGTATTATTCACTTTTTCTCCAACTAAAATTGAGTACCGTGTACTAAAACGGATGTATTTCCTCTTTTAACAATATACCATCTGCAAATTCATAAATCAAAGATTAATATTCAACTTAAAATCTAAAGTAAAATCGATGGAATATACTTTATGTAGTACTTCTAACCTATATTTAAGAATTTTATGCTACTTCACTTAGTTTTTACATTTTGAGTATAATATACCCTAGTTCTTAAAGAATAAAAAATTATTGTGATATATATTATATATGCTTTGTGTCTATTATTGTCATGGGACCAATTTATACGCATTCATCCTCTTTTACATAGGCTATGACAAGAAGACAAATGTTCAACACTATGTCACGAATAAATTTTAAGTTTTATATTCACTAACATAAAGAGAATTTAAAAGTAACTAAAAACATTAGAATAGATACCATCACGTCATTGCGAAATTATAATTGTTGTACAAGATGTAGACTATGCAATAAAGATTAAACTTTCTAATATCCTATAAAAGTTAGCTCAATGCTTCGAACTATTATCTGTACAAAATTGATCTCAAGTCCTGACAGTTTCAATTGACAATAACAGAATGGAATTTTTTTTCTCTCACTTTCATTCTAAGGCAGAAAAAGTTTAAAACAACGGACTAAACCTATTTTGCTCAATAGAAAAGAATTGATGCAAAGTTGTCTATACGAAATCAACTATTTTGTCGAAATCTTGATACCTGACAAATGTTTCTTTTGTAAACGATAATCTTAATTTTTCGTGCTCTTTGTTTAACGGATTTGTTGCTTTTTGCTTTAAACTTCGTCGAAATGTAAACCGTCGACGAAGTTTTGGTTCTTCTCCTGTCGACGGTGACGAACTAAATACACCATCATTATCGAATGTGACAGCGGATGGAAGTATAATATCAACTGATTCTGCAGGTCGTGCTTGATAACGTGCAACACGTTTGAACGATTCATTATCTGGAGAATCTGGATCATTAAAACGTTGAAAGAAACTTTTGGGACGTTGTTTGGTGCTGGAATTGGTTGATGGTGTTGGCGAGGGTCGTGGTTGAAACTGGAAAGGGGTGGGTGGGGTTATTAGTGGTTCAGTGGCTGAATTCAATTTTGACGCAATAACTGTAATTATTGGTGGCACTGGACAATGATAAGTTCGAGGTTTATTAGATATCTTATCTTTACTATCAAAGTAAATTATCAACGTTGTTGAATCTCGTTTTCGTTGAAGAAAATCGGGTGGTCTTGTACTATTAAAAATACCGTAATTTTCCTGCATACATACTTCTTCCTTGTTTTCGTTGTAACAAAATATTTAATAAATATTATTAACTAATCGAGAACGTCTGCTATTACTTGTTTTGCTGTTGCACACACACATAAAAGGATCATTGATTGAGAAAAGGAAAGAAGGGAGAAAAAACGAAGTTTATCTAATCCATTCATGTTTTCCACTTGGAAAATTGAGAGAGGGAATAGAGAGCGTGCTATTGACATACACGCATGCAGCGAAAGACAGAGCAATATATGTATATATATATATATAAGAGAAACGATGAAGTGGTAGAAAAAGAAAGAGCGAACGAAAAAGAAGAGAAAAGGATCTTGTATTGTATGTATGTATATTATTATTATTATTATTATTATTATTATTATTATTATTATTAGTTCTATTCACACAACACAGCACACAACTGCTGCGGATGATAACCCGGAAATATTATAGAAGGGAAAAGAGAACAAAACTCCTTATACAATTGTCATTGTTGTTTTGTAGGCTATAGTAGTGATGCCGGTGGTAATGATTGAGGAAAATATTAAAAATAATTGGATAATGTATGGATAGAAATGAAGAAAATAACGAAAAGCTATCGAGCGTAATCATTGTAATTTCACAATTTCTTTTTCTCTCTCTTTCTCTCTCTCATTTCGTCAGCGAAAAGAGAACAACAGCTAAATTCATTAGATTATTATCTACACTGATATATGAATTAATAAAGCGACAACACAATATAATCTTCTTCAAAAATAGGATGAGATGAACACACAGATAACCTGGATAAAAAACGCATTCGCCCATGTATATAGATGACATACACCAACTGCTGCGCTCGATTGAACTAGTTCTTCTACGGTGACGTAGGCTAATCCTAGAGTCGAGAGGGTTACTTTTGCACGAATTTGTAAATATTGAATTATTTAATGATCTTTATAAGCACGGTGGCAAGAATGTGCACCTGGTCACACCAGCTACTTCTGTTGATGAAAAAAAGTAATATAAAAAGCAGCGAGAATGTTTAAGAAAACGTGCTTGCATGCAACCGTGACTTGTCACTTTTTCTATTTTGGAATCGCTAAAAGATTTTCAATCAAAAACGTGTCATATTTAATGACATGTCAACGGAAATGAGATCTTTTTAGTGTGAAATTCACAGTAAATTATTTTTCAGTTCCAAATAAAAACCGACAATGAATATTAACGTTAAAATTATTTACAAATCATAAAAATAAATTGTCATTTTAACAGATTTTGTGCGTCATACTAACTTTTGAAGAAATTAACTTCACGCAGAATGCACTATTATGTAATAAGACAAAACAAAGCTTCTCACTCCACTTCATCCTCTCGTACCGACTGTTTAGTTTGCATTTATCATGCTGATGAATTGGTGTTACTAATGTCATCGCACAACTAGGATATTCCTAAGCAAAAACGACCCAATTATTTGGGTTGAACGGATAATATAAAATTTTTCTGTAGAGTTTTATATATTATCACTGAGTTACAAGTTTTATTTTTTTTTATGAAGTATATGACAACTGGCAGTAAACAGTTTTCTAAAGTTATTTTGATGCTTAACGAGTTTTCTGTATGGGCTACATATCATCTTTTATTAATATATTATCCAGGGTGAAGGTCAAGAAAAAAAACAAAATTAGGAATAATTTTGTTCATTTCTTCTTTGTTAAGTGAATACAAGCGAGAAGAAGAAGAAATTAAGATTTTTCTCTATTTTTTTATTTTTATCCTCTTCTTTGCGAACGATATAGATAATAAATCTGTAATAGTTTCCTCTGATTTTACACAAATTTTTCGTAGGAGTAATGGATATTCAAACTCATAAAGGTTACTTCTCTTTGATGTATTTCATACTCAAGGAAATCACTTCACTCTTATTCTCTATTAATAAATCATAAGAAAGAAAGAGAACAATGAACTTTGTGTGTTCTATTTTCTTCTCCTCGATTTTGGCTGACAGACAGATAAAAGCTCAAAAATGTTTCAACGAACAATGTTTGACTATAACACGAGTTTCTAAAAATAGTATGCGAGAGTTTCTTATGCTTCAAAAATGAGAATAGAAAGATACTTTAACACACATCGTATACTGATTTTTTATGTCAAGAAAATGTTTATTGATTTTCTAATTTATGAGAAATACTTAAAAGTCGGAGACCAGCAAAGTACCCAGCATTAGGCCAAGGGTGGGGAGCCCTTAGAAATTTCGTTTTCTTTAATTAAAAGTAGAAAAAAATATTTTGACGGAAATCGAAAATAAAAATACTACACAAGAACTTTTTTCTTTAGCCAAAACAGGGTTTATGCCCACCCGTTACTGAAATTCTGGGTACGTCGCTGTCGTAGACGCTTTTCGAATTTTTCGAATTTAAATTTCATTTTGATTTTTATCATCATGATGATATGGTGAAAGATAATTAGCATTTATGCTGTGAAAAAAGTTTTCTCTTTGAAAACTACACAATATATCCACTACAAGGATAATTCAGGATGTACAATATCATACATTAATGCACTTTTAGATGAAGAGCACAGCTTGGGCCAATGCATTTTGAAATTGTAGAGTCATGAGTCTTGATAGATTTCTCGAGATATTCCAGTAAAAACTCTTATTGTGTTGCAGATAATGTTCAATAATCAAAAATCTACCAGTTTAGAATCCTTTTGATACTTTTTTTTCTCAAGATTATCTCTCTATATATATATATGACTCATCATCGGAATACGTTCTTTTTTTCGGGCACATTCGAGAGTCTTGGATCAGTTTGTTCTGCCTCTTTTGTTTGCTACACAATACACTTCGAAAATTTTTTATTATATTTTCTCCCGCTAAACCCGTTTTCTCACATTAACACCCAAATTGTGTTAGAGACGTAGTGATAACACTATCGTAGGTGAGCATGGTCAGTGCTATAGTAATGAACCTTCTGTTGTCCGTTTCTTTTATTATGTTCTGATATTTTATGAACATGATACAATAATTTACAGAAAGAAAAGATGTTAGTCACCAGCTTATATCGTATCTTTTACCTCTTTTCATGTTCTATGTAATTCATGACACTCCTTATAATTAAATCAGCTAATCTTTGCGCAGTTTTTGTTTAAAAATTAGGTTAGAAATGAAGTTTTTCAGAGACTGTTTGCATGATGAAATTTAGTGGATGGCGGCAAATTCAACCGGATGCTTTATAGAAAATCGACATAGAATATGCCTGAACATTTTAAAATGGTTATAATATATATTGCAGGTTTTTATAACAAAAGTAGAAAATTAATAATTTTTAAAAACTAGAAAATCGATTCGATTTTTAATAAAATCGACTTTTTAGTTTTTTATTCACATTTTCGTTTTGCTATTGCATCAGTATATAAAAATACGCAATATTTGTTAAAAGCTGACATGTCTAGACAATTTTTCTCAGTGACTTTATCGAAATGTGAATTTTGATGACTCACTCCTCTCGTCACAGAGGACAGCTGGTGCGATGATGAGTAAAAATCGGTGTCGATTTTCTACAAAGTAGAACATGCATGCCGAGTGAAATTGGAGACAGTTTTCTAGAAATCTGTATGTGCAGTCGCCGATGATTTTCAAACTGGTTTATTGATAGAAAATCAGTGTCGACTTTTTAGAAATTCCACCTTTATTTTTCAGTAAATTGACCTTGATTTTATATAGAATCCTTTCCTTGAAAATCATATTTTCCGGAAAATAGACAGTCGCCAACGATTGCATATATGGATTCCTAGAAAATTGTTCTTTTTTATGTCGACAGACATTTGATTTGTTCAGGGATGTTTGTTGTTGTTTTTTCTTGTTTAGTCATATTTTTTGCAAAATGTGAATCGTGCGATTTAGAGAACTACGTAACATGTAGAGACATTCTGAAATACGGGAGATAGCTCTCTGAGTACTGAATGTGGACCATTTCACGTTCTATTTTTAAACAACCGTCCAGATTCGGCGAGATGTGTTCCACAAGTGGAAGAAAAATATATCTTGGACTTTGAACTTTTTAATTGTTAATAGTTGTCCGGCGCCATATTTTTTGATTTGTAGACAGAATTGAGAAATGAATCTGTGTATATATCTTCTGATTAGTGAATTTCTTTTTCCACATACATGCATCTAATAAAAGGTATACTAAGTGATTACCAGTATTTTAAAACATAGAAGAACACACCGAAAAATTTCATTGAAAAGAGAAATAATGTTAAAAATTTATTCATTGATTGTTGAGACGGTTTAGAATAGTCACAATAAGAAGAAAGAAGAACCGCTAATTACTCCACTGGAATTATTACAAGCCTCTTTATAATATTTACTGCTTCTTATCTTTTATGTATTTGTCTAAAGGGTGGTTTCTAAGCACATACTCTCAAAAGTGTGCTGTTTTTTCTTGCTGATTGATACTGTGGTTGATACCCTGGTTCAGATGATTTTGATGCTACAGAAAATTTCAACGAAATTAATGCTTGAAATCCGAGCTCGTTAGTCCAAATCAGTAGTCAGAAAAATGTCCACATTGCCTATCGACATCGCAACTTGTGCATAGCACAATTGCATTCTAGTTTCTATAATGTATTTTCTATTTTACAGTGTATGTAGTGTTGTAGACATCTGTTTGTCTGACAAGGAGTTTTCCTGCATTCTGCACAGCTGTGTTCTAGTTTTGAATTTTTATTTACATCAAACATCTTCATTCATTTCTACTCCACCTTCTGCTGCCATAATGCTATGTTATACGTCTAGTGACGTTTATTTTGTCGCTACTACATAAAACTTCTTTCCTTTATCTGTTTCTTTTCATATGTAAAACAGACTAAGATCACGTTAGAATAGAGGAAGAATATTGTACAGAAAATAAAGTTGAGTTTTTCAATACGATATTACTATCTATTTCAAAATATGGTGACGGTGGACGTTTTTTTGAATAACTTTTAATAGAAAAGAAGTAGCGATCTGCGATTTTTGTCATTATATAACCAAAATCTAGCTACATAAAAAAGTTATTCTAGTCACATCCAACGCACCACACCCAGATGGTATAGATTATCACTCTCTGAAATACTAAGTTCGAGGAGAACTCAAAGAAATTTGGGTTCAATGGATTTAAACTACTAAATATATTCATGTCAATTCGAGTTTTTCATCTGTTACTATCCTTGGATGCCATCAATTTTTATGTGAAACGCATGGTCGGATCTCGATTTATATAGAAAGAAATTCTAGAATATATTTGTTCTTGACCATCGTATGCTATGGAGAATAGCAGATATCTGTCTATAAAAGTTAAAAAATAGTCACAGTCGCTGTGCCCTTAAATAGAGGATAACTCTTATTGATACCTGATATTAGCCTTAATGACGCTACTTGAAATCAAGGATTTGACTACTTAATCTTTTTCATACGAGAAGTTCTGCTAGTCAGAACATACAGACAACGTTCCCTCTGTATATTACAAAATGTAAACTAATTACTTACCAATAGTTCAAGGATACGTATGCGTCGTATTTTGATACACTTCGTCTAATGAATTCTATCATGGATAGGAGAAGTGACTTCTCAAGATTCTAAACCGTCTTCATTTAAGTTCATGTTATGAAGAGTCCCGAGTGAACGGAAATGAGAGAAACAATTAAGAAAACTCAACAAACTATTAGTCATCACGAAACAATTACCGAAAAGAATAATACACGTTTAAAGAGGAAAATACTCCACTAGAAAACTCGTTAAAGAACGATTTTAGTTCATTAGTAGACTATCCAATTAAATACCAGAAATATTTTTAAAAACATCATATTGTTTATGTCTTAGTATGTGGCGTGTATTGATAAGAAAAATAGTTTTCAGTTGTGAAAGTGCAGTTAGTGTTCGATTTTTTTCATGAGAGTTTATATAGTTTGGAAACAAATTACGTAGTTATTTTTGATGATTAGACAGTCTTCTTACTACACTTGTTCGTAAACACCACTTATCATCAAATAAAAATCTATTATTAGGAATGAAAATACTTCACGCTTCTTCTTGCCACTGGTTATTGGCACTGCTTATATGCATCTGTTTGTCCTCAAAGTAACTTTTTTAATTTTAAAAATCTGTTAAAGTCGAATTATGCTTTCCTTTCATTCTCAAGACGTTTTTCTAGGTCCGACAGATTAAAAATAGTCTTCTACGGCAGAAAAACGACTGTTTATTTTCTGATCGGTCCAGTCTATAAGCACTCAATCTACTTCAGATACGAACAAAGATTACACTTCATTCGTCCTATGACATATCGAGATATTAGATGTGTCAAGCGTTAAATAAGAACATGAAATTGATACTATACTAATAATATCGAGTCATAATTAGCCGCGTACGCACCTGCTATTTCATATCATCATCTGTCTTCCTTTTTTATACTATGTACTTTAAGTTCTTTTAATTTTTACTTACCCATTGGCACTATTTTTAGGTGCTCGTTTTCTCAAAATAATTTTACTAATTCTCGTAACAAAATTCATAGATCCTTTTGTAGTGACATTCGTTAAGCTAGCCGTAGGCGGTTGAATAGTGGATAGATCCTGAGATGATTTAATAACATTCGCTGACGTATTATGATTACAATTACCAACGGTAATATCAATATTCGCCGATTGTTGAACAATATTATTTTGAGGTAAAACTGTTGTGGTCGTCGTAGTATCGATCGGATCGAATATGTTATCGCTACGACGGCGTGATACACATGACGCACAATTTGTCATTATTCCCGTTCGACGAACGCGTTGTTTCTGCTGTTGGTGATGTCTTCTTTTTGTCGTAGTGATCTGACTGCTGTTTATACTGCTTGTACTGTTTCGTCTCAATGTGCCGGCACCACAACATCGATTAAAGACGTTTTTGGCACGTTTTTGTTGTTGTTGTTGTTGAGATTGCGGTTTCGGCTTAACAACCGACCGTTTATCCAAATTAACTTTATCAATCGTAATTGAACGAACGAATAGTAGAAGATTTAGTTCATATACCGAAAATGATATCCGTCGAAAGACAATTAGTACTGCCTCTATTATAACTCAACGTTATTTTCGAAAAAAAATAATCGTAACAACAACGCAAATAGAAAATAATTTTTTTCTCTTCTTGTGCAGACTGTTCTATCTTCAAAACGCGAAGTATTATGTACTCTTATTCATACACGTGTGTCTGTTTTGTTTTTGATGATGATGCTGAGACACACTGATGATGGAGAAGAATATGAGATTTTTTTTGTGTCTACATGTACACACACAATAATGAAAAAGAAGAAAAAGTGGAAAAAAGTTCTCTTGTTGATTGGTGTCCAGTGTGTGACGAGATGCTGTTACTACTGCTGCTGATAGGGATGGTGGTCGTGGCACCTAATGAAAACAATCTAATTTCTTTCTCTTTTTCCTTTTTATTCGATCTTTCCTTTTATTTCTTAAATAATAAAAATATAAGCGCTGTTCTTACACGTTTATATCAGCTATTATACCTACTGCATACACAATACACATACTACACGATGATTATTATGTTTTTTTCTGCTTACTCTCTCGCGCTTTTTTTTTTTCGGCATAAAGCAAAAGAACGGAAGAAAAAAAATCCAAATACAATCTGTTCTGTTATAATGTCTATTCTTCTCTCATCAACTGTTCTGTTGTGTTGATTATTGTTGTTGTTTGTTGTTTCTTTCTTTCTTTCTCTCCCTCTCTCTTTCTCTTACACGTATTTACATCATTCTTGTTACTACCATTTTACGTCGTTCAAAAAAATCTCCTTTCATTTCTTTTACAAAAGTATACATAGACTGACGAGAGGAAAATCAAGGTCATCAGCAGTTCTACATCTTCTTTATCCATAAATAATTACTATTACATTCGGAAAAGAAAAAAATGTAGTCCTCTTTTTTTCCTTTTCTTCTTTTTCCTGTTTACATGTTGTCACTGTTTGAGAATCAGCTCGGTTTAAAAAGCTGACTCAATCTTCATTAAATTTATGGATCGGGAAATAAATTATAAGATCTAGTGTTCCAAAACTGATTTTGGTATTGAAATCTGATATAATAATCTATATTAGATTTTCGAACCGACTTGATTTGCGCGACCAGTAGTGATTGATGTTATCATATACTTGCGCATGGTTTATTCTCTTGCGTCTGTATTATTCATTTCATTTAAATAGTAAATGTTATAGAAGACGACTTGTTGACTCTACTATTAGCTTATTGAGTTTAACTATATCTCTCATTGGGACTGACGTCATCATAGAAAAGAAGACTTTTATTTTTATTGTTATTTTCTAACCCTACAAAATGATGTGCATCAAGATAACAGAACCTCTATGATGAAGATCATCAATCAAGACACACCAAACACCTGGTATGTTCTGTTCTCTGTGATTGTTTTTACTTGTTTTCGTTTTGTATTTTTTCTCTACTGCTCTTTGTAAAGTATAAATAAAGAATGAAAAATATTCGGCACGTACACGCACATTACATAATATTTATTCTGTCTACGTTTTATTCTTCGATAAAAAGAAAAAGTCAGATTTATTTTTTTTTTTGTCCAAATTTTTTATGATGAAATTTGATCAGAAAAAAAACCCCAACCAGATGATCAAAATGCGAACAAAATGAGAAACTATAACAAATACTAACAATATTACATGAGTTGAAATGAATATGATGATATTATAGTAAAATGTTTCAAAATCTAGAGACATTGCTAAGTTTTTTTTTCAAAAACATTATACTCTATTTCTATATCACCAATGAATAACGATATATGAATAACTAGAAAATTTTAAAAAGTAATTTTAACATTCTTCATAAGTTTATTTGGAATAAACTTATTAAAAATGTTAAAATTATTTTAATCTTGTATATTTTAAAAATAGTTTAGTATATTAAATATTTTTATTAAAGAAAATTTAATCATTCATGGTAGATAATGAATATTTATGTATTAAATTTTCATTATATTGTTGAATGTTTGGATAAACGTTATATCTACCCTTTAATATTGATTATAAAGTAAAATTAATCTTGATAGATGTTAAATAGCTTTTAATTAATGTCACTTTTTGTTTTTGTGTGTATACAAATGAAAATGTCAAGATGATTATTTTCACTGATGACAACAAACACATACACATATACACATTCTATAGTAAACGATCTATAGTAAATGTAGTTTGTTATTTAAATATATATATATATATATATGCATTTTTCTGTCATACAAATGAGCTAAAAATTACTTTTCAAGTATTTTTTTATCTTATTATCTTAATTATAAATATTTTAATTATATTGTAAAGAATTAAAGAGATACGTTTTTTTTATTTTTTATCTAGAAAATTCAAAGTAAAATAATAGAACTTATTATTCATAAAGTTCTAGATGGATTTTCTTCTTTTTCTTCTTTTTTTTGGGTTTTTTTTTTTTATTTTTAGAAAGTGAACGATTTTTTATTTTATTAGTATAACAATAAATCAAGCATACTCTATGAATGTCTGAATATTTTATAGTTATACATGATATTATTTTGTCTCATAAGAAAACACAGAAGAAAACTGAATCATTGTTCTGTGACGCAATCATTCCGCTGCAAAGATCTTTATGTTAAACATCAAATAACACATTTTGATTAATATGTCAGCATTGATTAGAAAAAATGCAGATAAAGAAAAACCCATTTTTTTCTTAGAACAAAATTTTACTTTTCTAAATAGAATTCTGCACTATAGGGTTATCTACAGAACAAAAAAAAAAAAAAACAAAAAATGACATCAAATCAAACAAAATTTTTGACCTCTCTCTCTCTATGCCAAAGATATTTTTGAAAATTTTCATGTGACATTTTTCAATAAGAAGTGAACATGTTGTTGTAAAATTTATTCTGACAATTATTTTTACTATATTAAATATTCTAGTCTAGTTCTATGTCGAATGAGAATTTCATTGACATAATTTTATTTGGTAATTTGTTTGTAAAAAGTGAAAGGTATAAATAAAATAAATTTCTTTAACAACAACAAAAAAAAAAAAACTACTTTTTATATCCTTTCTTTTTATTCACCGTTGTGCATGTAAGCATGCAATTGTCATTGCTTCTCCAATATCAATTAGAACAAAAAAAAAAATTCAAAGTAGCGGAATATACCTCTAGAGTTGAGAAAGAACGAGACAGAAAGTAGTATGTTTATTTGACAATAGAAAATATACATTGCATGAAGATGATGATGATTAATATATATTTTCGAAGTCATTCATCGGGTACATAAGAAGTTACTTTTAAGAATTTTGTTATTAAAGTCATTTTAATCCGATTAAAGTATATTGTTAACCAATAAATCACGCGCGAAAAAGGGAAACTATTTGTCATTATATTTCAATAATTCTATTATTATTAGGGACTCTCTTTCATATTTAATTACTAGAATCTATTCTAAAGCTAGAATACAAACATACGTTCATGAAGAAAGGATTTATCTTTATTTTGTCTGTTTTTACATGATGTAATAACTTTCTCTGTGGGTGTGTGACTTGGCTGAATTCCAAATTGTCAAACTATATAATCTTTTGCATATGAGTGAAAAACAATATTTACAAAAGTCTCACAAATGTGTTGTTCACTAACAATAAATAAGTGAGAAAAAAAAGAAAAAGAGCAACGTAGAAAAATACATTCTTATGTATTGTCTTCCGCCTTAAAAACATCTGATCCTCTCTACTGTATATTTTTTGTTATTAATCTTTGAGTAGTGAGTTAATGTCAATCGAAAGAGAAAAAAAATGACGAAAAGTTCACCTGATTTTTGGGGTAAAAAGAGGACAACACACAAAAACAAGTACTTAACAAACTCACATAAACATTATATAAAATATTTTCAACACTTTATTGTAAAAATTGTGATTCAATTTAGGAATATCTAGAAGCATAGTTCAATTTCTTTCGTTTTAACATACTTACGAAAGAGACATACGATGTTTGTTTGTTTTTTTATAAAAGACAGTCAATTTCGCTGTATAAAACTGATTTGTTTTTGTTTTAGGATGCGTCCAGTCAAAATAAATTACCCATTACAATTTGCAATAGATATCTGACATCTTATCAGTTGCAACTAGAGGAGCGATGTTCAAGGTTAATATTTTTTTATACCCTATACATATATATATATATATATTACGCTTTGTTGCCATTGTAAAGAAAAAAACTTTTAACCTCTTGAGGACTAATGACACGAATTAATGTAACAGGCACAGGTAGTCTATGCGCGTATCATACAAAGAACGCATGAAAAAAATATATTTCGTTAACGCATGTGATAATTCGGATTGATAAAAAATATCATGGAAAAGTACTAAATTTAATGAAATTTTCAAATATCATCAAGTTTGTACAGTTTTGATATACACTGTGAAGCTGATTTTAAAAAAAAAACTAATTTTTAAGCCTAGAATTCCATTATAAACAAGGGATCAACATGTTTGTTGCAATTGACATTAAGAAAGCACATCAATAAAGTTGCCTGGATTGTAGAATGCAAAGATGAATTTCTGTTGCTCTATATATTGTTATTTACGTTGATGAATTTCTTTTTGTTTTTACTGTTGAGTTATTATGAGTAATGACAACTGTATCATTGTCTTAGTTTTTGTGATTAATTATTTTTGAGAAAAAACAACATAAGAAAATCAAAGAATAGTCTGGACTGAATCATGAATAGTGACAGAAATAAT